TTTTTTTTTGTTCGTTGGAATTTGAAGTTTTTAAAAACAAAATTTTCTTGTCTTTATATATTTTGTTAATGTGAGTCATTGATGGTAAACAAGTAGCCATTTCAAGTAACAAATATCAAATGTAACGATAGATGCCCTACTTCTTGGGTGCCAGTTCTCGATTCCTGCGATTGCAGCCTGTTTTCATGCTCGCTGATGTTTCGCCCTGAGGTATCCTGCTGAGTCTGATCATCGCCATTCTCGACCATTTCTGAAAGAAAACCATAAAAAGAGGTAGCAGAAAAAAATTCGATTCCACAACGTCTTGGCCCGGAAGCCGGTATTTCCCGCATAAATTAGGCATGGCCTGAAGCTTTCGGTAACATCGAACACCTTGCGACCACATGCAACCCTCGCCAGAATCACGTAAAATTGCTAGCAACAAAAGAAAGGCAACAACTAAAACTCGGCTCGGCTCGGCCACGCAACATGCATTCGGCTTTGGATTCAGGTTCGAGTTGCGAAAATCGCAGTGCCGGATTGTTCAAAGTATCGCATTGCTAGCCTTCACTCAGCATTCAGGTTTCTTGCTCAGCACAATTGGTGGATCCAGAAGGAGAGGTCTTCCATCCCCTCCTCCCCTTTCCCCCTCCCTCCAGGGACTTAGGTAACAGTTATTTTACTGTAGAAAAGTCTGCTTGAAACCTCCAGTCCCTCCCCCCCCCTTCCCTCAAGGATCCTTCAAAAGAGGGGAGGGGTGTGGTGAGGCGACTCGGGGAGGAGGGAGGGGTGAGAGGGGAGGGGGATTGTAGTGACGAAGGAAGAAGGTGAGCTGAAAAATCATCTACCTCTCCCTCCCATCCCCAGGGGACCGCCCTGGATCCGCCTGTGCTCAGCACAAGCCTTCACTCAGCATCAAATTTCATGTTCCCCTGTCCGTGTTCTATGCAAAAGATTTCCAGTTCGGCTGTCATCCACAATTGCGTCATGCGTACGAAACATTCAAAGTTGAAATCCAGACGCTGTATGGCAAAATGCGGACTCGAGAATCAGACTGAACTGAGTGCCCTGTCTTCACGAGAGCACTTGTTGTCTATATCCAGGC